TTTTGAAGTCAACCACAAATGGAACTTCATGATGCAGTAGTACGTGACATGTTTTTACACAATGGAGGATTCCGACCAGAGAACTATTCGCCTCGCGTATAAACAGTAAACGCACCACATACTGCTCCAGGGGAGGTCTCAGCCACCATTCTCAGGGTGACGCTCTCCAACTTTCCTGGTCAGACCAAATCAACATCATTTTCCCTCTTCTACTGCTCCTACCTTGGGTACTCCACAAAATCTGACGAGACTGAGTGACAGTCATTCTGATCGCCCCCGGTTGGTCTAGACAATTCTGGCTTCCTAGTCTCCTATGCATGTCAGCCCATCCACCAATTCCCATTCCCAACTTTCCCAATCTGCTGTCACAATGCAATGGATCTATCTGATTCACGAGAAGGAACTGGAAATGTGGTCTGTCTGCCCTTCCTTTTACCTCCGATGGAAGCACGCGGCGAGCCAAGGCATATGCATAGACCAACAAATGCTACTTTCAAATTCTCCAATTCCAGGCACATGGTGCGCCTACGTAAGCCCTCAGAGGAGTACAGATAGGGACCACACATCTCGAAGAATCTCCAGTAAATTCACCAAGTTGGATTGTGGCTTGTAGCTGGATTCTGCCTTGCACTGAAGATGATGATACATGAGTCTCACTGCTGCAGATGGAGCTGCAGGAGCCAAAGTGCCTCAGGGCCAGTTAGACTGGCAGAACTGCCAGGATCTCAATGTGTGGATGAGACAATGGTGGTAGGAGGAGGGATTTAGGTTTATTAGAAACTGGGGAACCTTTTTGGAAAGAAGGTGCCTGCACAGGAAGGATGGGCCCCATCTAAACAATAATGGAACCAGATTGCGGACATGTAAAATTAAAAAGGTCATAGAGGAGTTTTTAAACTAATGGCTGGGGGAAAGCTGACAGGTGTGGAGGAACACATGGTTCAAACAAAGACATCCTTTACAGAAGAATTTATTAAAGAGGATACTCTATAGCCTAGTAAAGGGGAGAGGATAGAAGTTGATAAAGTACAGGTAGGAACTGAAGAGAAACGGACAAAAAAGAGTCCCATTCTGTTACATCACATGAAGGTAGACAGCTAAATATTGACAAATTTTATAAGTGCTTGTATATCCTAAAAGTCTATATACTAAGATGGATGAACTTGATTGCCTGGTATTAAATGATATTGATCTAATAGCTACCAAGAAACTTGGTGGAATGATGATAATAAATGGGACATGGCAATACTGGGGTACAAAATACATACAAATGGCAGAGTAGGTCATGCTGCTAGGGTAGTGGCACTATGTTTGAAAGACAGCACGGAGTCAAATACCGTAAAAGTCTTAAATGAATCAAATTGTATTACAGAATCTCTGTGAATAGAAATTCCATGCATGTATAATAAGAGTATAGCAGTAGAAATATAGTACCATCCACCTGACCAGGATGGTGACGGTGATTGTATAATGCTCAGGGAGATTAGAGCAGCTATGAAAACAGAAAACCAATCATAATGGGAGATTTCGACTATCCCCATGTAGACTGGGTACATATCCCCTCTGGACCGATAAAGAGAGAAACGTTCTAGACACCATTAATAACTGCTTCTTGGAGAAGCTAGTCCTCTAACCCACAATGGGAGAGGCAATTCTTGATTTAGTCCTAAGTACAGAATCTAGTCCAAGAGTTAAATATAGCTGAACCATTCAATAATAGCAGCCATAATGTAATTAAATTTAACATCCTTCTAAAGGGGAAAATACCAAAGAAGCCCACCACAGTAGCATTTAATTTCAAAAAGAGGAACTACATAAAAATGAAGAAGCTATTTAAACGGAAATTAAAAGGATTAGTCAAAGGAGTGAATGAGTGATATGCCTGCAATCTGCATGGAAAATATTTAAAAACACCATAATAGAAGCTCATACTACATGTATACCCCAAATAAAAGAAAAACCAGCAAGAGGGCCAAAAAAATGTCACCATGGCTAAACAACAGAGTAAAAGAGGGAGTTAGAGACAAGAAATCATCTTTTAAAAGTTTTTAAGTCAAAACTACCTTAGGAAAATAGAAAGAAACATAAATTCTGGCAACTCAAGTGTAATAGTACAATTAGGCAGGCAAAAAAGAATTTCAAGAGCAACCAGCAAAAGACACAAAACGAAAAAAAAAAAAAAAAGATTAAAAAAAAATTGTTTGAAACAGGAAACCTGCCAGTCAGTGAGGCCACAGGACACTCAAATTGCTAAAGGAACACTCAAGGAATACAAGGCCATCACAGAGAAGCTAAATGAATTCTCTGAATAGGTTCACTGCAGAGGCTGTGAGGGACATACTCACAAGTGAGCCACTCTTTTTAGGTGATAAATCTGAGGAACTGTCCCAGACTGAGATGTCAATAGAAAAGGTTTTGGAATAAATTGATAAATTAAACAGTAATAAGTCACAAGGCCCAAATGGCATTCACCCAAAAGTATTTAAGGGACTCAAATATGAAATTGCAGGACTACTCACTATTGTATGTAATCTATTGATGAAATCCGCTTCTGTACAAGATAACAGGAGGATAGCTAATGTAACACTGATTTTTTTTTAAAAGACTCCAGAGGCAATCGTGGCTATTACAGGCTGGTATGCTTAACTTCAGTACCAGGCAAATTGGTTGAAACTACAGTAAAGAACAGAATTATCAGACACATAGATGAACAGAATATGTTGGGAAAGAGTCAGCCTGGCTTTTCTAAAGGGAAATCCCTGCTTTACCAATCTATGAGGATTATTTGAGGGTGTCGGCAAACATGGACAAAGGTGATCCAGTGGGTATAGTGTACTTGGACTTTCAGGAAGCCTTTGACAAATGAAGTCCCTCACCAAAGGCTCTTAAGCAAACAAAGCAATCATCAGATTAAGAGGGAAGGTCCTCTCATGGATCAGTAACTGATTAAAAGACAGGAAACAAAGGGTAGGAAAAAAACAATCACTTTTCACAGTGGAGAGCGGTAAATAACGGGGTTCCTCCAAGGATCTGTACTCTTACCTGCACTGTTCAACATATTCATAAATCTGGAAAAAGAAAGGGGCAAAGTTACAAAATTACTCAAGATAGTTAAGTCCAAAGAAGATTGCAGAGAGTTACAAAGGGATTTCACAAAACTGGGTGAGTGGGCAACAAAATGGCAGATGAAATTTCATTTTGTGTGTACAGGGGCAACTGTTGTCTAAATTAGCTATTACCACTCAAGAAAGAGATCTTGGAGTCATTGTGGATAATTCTCTGATAATTTCTGCTCAATGTGCAGCAGCAGTGAAAAAAGCTAACAACGTTAGGAATCATTAAGAAAGGGATAGATAAAAAGACAGAAAATATCATGTCACTATATAAATTCACGGTATGCTTACACCTTGCATATTGCATGCAGTTCTGGTCACCCTATCTCAAAAAAAGATATATTAGAATTGGAAAAGGTTCAGAGAAAATTTTAAGGGTATGGAACAGCTTCCATATGAGGAGAGATTAAAAAGATGGGGACTTTTCATCTTAGAAAAGAGATGACTAAGGGGGGATATGATAGAGGTCTATAAAATCATGAATGCTGTAGAGAAAGAGAATAGGGGAGTGTTATTTACCCATTCACATAATACAAGAATCAGGGGTCACCCAACAAAATTGATAGGTAGCATGTTTAAAACAAACACAAGGAAGTACTTCTGCAGACGACACAAAGTCTACCTGTGAAACTCGTTACCGGGGGATGTTGTGAAAGCCAAAAGTATAACTGGGTTAAAAAAAAAATTAGGTAAGGTCATGGAGGAGAGTCGATTAATGGCTATTAGCCCAGATGGCCAGGGATGCAACCCCATGCTCTGTGTGTCCAGAGCGGGAGTGGACAACAGGGGATGGATCATTTGATAATTGCCCTGTTCTGTTCATTCCCTCTGAAGTGTCTGGCACCAGCCACCATCAGAAGACAAAATACTGGGTTAGGTGGACCATTGGTCAGACCCAGTATGGCCTGTTCCTATGTTGTTGAGCTCCCTGGCATGCAAAGGAAATTTAGCCTTTGCATTTTCCCCAAAGGTTGTCTGAAGTAGTCTTACTACTGTGGAGGGCCAGGGCATGGCCTTTCCCAAACCCCAACCCCAAAATATCCAATGGCTGGCCGGTTTGTGCCACACTGCCCTTGCACTAAATTGTGTAGAAAGAGTGTGTGATTGTGCTTGACTTCTGCTCAAGGTTGCAATGAGGGGGAAGGGTGAGAAGCACCCTATCAAAAAGATACATGGCACTTCATTGGTTTACCTCATCAAAGCATTAGACAAACATTAGCTAACTAGTATTCTTCGAGTGCTTCTGTACATGAGTTCTGCTTCTGGTGTGCAGGCACCCCATGACCTGGAAATCGGAACATGTTAGCCAGCAGCATCTGTTGGTCCTACTTGCACCACTGATGCCTTTGAGCTCTCCCCCTTGAATATATAAAGGAGGAAGTGCAACCAACCTACTCTTAGTTCCTTTGAATCATTCCTGAGTGTGAGACAGACCCAGCTGGCAACATCCATCTTTTTTTTCTAGTTGCATATTTCATTAGGTTTTTAAAAATTCTTTTAGTTATTTATATTTAATAATTAGATTTAGCTTTATTTAGTTTATTTTCTGCCCTGTATAGGAGGGGTCTAGCATTATTTTGTGACTAAAGGCCATGGGCTTTCTATTTTGTGAGTAACTCCAGCTACTGAACTGATAAGTAACAGGTAAGTAACTTCCCTATTGTTAGCAACTGCAGGCACAGGGTCCTGAGGTTATGCACATGTAAAAGTTACTCCTTTATTTTTATCACGGAAGTAGGGAAAAAATCAACTAAATGTTAATAGAGAAGCTGTAGTAAAAGAAAATGTTATTGTACTGTTACTCCTTTTCAAAATGACATTCATGAATATCTTGAACCAATGGCCTTCCCTACATTTTCTGTCATGTATTTCTCTTCTTTTATTTAGGAGTTGCAGCCATTGGTGGTGCATTTACAAATCAGATTCTCAAGGATATGGCTTCCTTTAACAAGCAGCCTATCATTTTTGCCCTAAGTAACCCAACCAGCAAAGCAGAGTGCTCTGCAGAGCAGTGCTACCAGATGACTGAGGTAATGGATCATTTGGTAATTGCCCAGTTCTGTTAGATGTTGTGTTAGATAAAGAAAAACAAACAACTATCAATAATTGCTTTGTTATTTATGTTTTAAAAATTATTTGTTTTAGGTGAATTTAGAAGCTAAAGATTAGAAATACCAACTTGTTAATTCTGTATGTGGAGATCAGTTAAATATGTAACACTACAAATCTGATAATTCCATTGAAGCAAAACAAAACACCAAACAAACAAAATGATCTCTGAATAGCTTGATTTTAATTTGAATTTCAGAAATACTAGGTGGAAAAATATTTCACCAATTTTTATTATTAATAAATTTCATGGGGCTATGAAACAGCCATATTTTTATTATAAATTAAATGGCAAAGAAATGAGAGGAGCCTTATTGAAGTATTTTAGTGCTTTTAGCTAACTGTTCCTGTGTACTGCAGTTAGCGACAGAGAACATCCACTCTGTATTCCATCTGCAAGAATCCCCCCACCAAGTTAGGATGGAGCAGCATTTCGAAGGTTGGCAATGCATTATAGCCAGCCTGTAGATGCTTGTCTACTACTCTGTCCTTCATTATTATACTTAACGTATGAGTAATTGTCAATTATGAGACTGTTAGTAATATGATGTTTGATTTAGTTCCACCTTCTATGTGTCATTTAAATACACAGCGACCTGTTTTTCCTTAAAGATGTATTTTGTATTTATAAATATTCAGTAAGATAGACATGTCTTATTGCAGGAAGCAAAATATTAGAAATCATTCTGTATTGAGAATGGAGCCCCAGGATCATTGACCTCTGTTACTCAGATTTCCGGTAACTAAAGACACAGGTGAAAAGTACAGAAAACTGGTTGTGTGAATAAAACTAAGAACAAAGAAGTACAGTTTGTTTTTTGTTCATTTTTTTAAAAGTCCTGTGGTTCTGGAGCGATTGTCAATAACCACAGCAGTTTCATAGAACTGCAATGTTAAAAATAGCCTCTGTGAGCAACTGATGCATCTGCCTTCTGTATTGGATCATGGGTTCTGTACTGGATTTCTCCTCTAGTATAGGGAAGCTTTTTAAATACTGTAAAACTGTCATACAAACAAAAATGTAGCATGCCCCATTCCTTTACTGAAAAGTACATATGACAGTGCAATGCAAGAGTCAAACAGGAATGCATACAGTATGAACAGCTGGTTATAACTGGTAACCAGAGCTAAAGATATATTGGAATATCTCTCACTAAAACATATAATAAACAGTCCATGATAATACTGCATGACACCAAGTTAAACAAAATATCCCTTTGAAGAACTGACTTGGAACATTGGTGTTTTTTTTAAAATACACATTTTCAGTTTCCCTAAAATAAACTTTAACATTTTGTGCTACAAGGAATCTCTCAAAACTATTGAACAGTAAAATTAATCATTTTAGCAATTTTAAATGGAGCGGGACAAAGGCCCTCTTGTAAGGCTGAGCATAAGCATCCTACCCCTACTTGACCGTACTATTTAAAGCCTAAAGTACTCTCATCTCAGCAAGGCTTAGAACCATAGGTAGTTCAATTAGAGCCTCTGGAATTTCACTTCTCATTATTCTCAATTTAGATTTTTATTTCTTACTATAGATCAGCAGCTATATGGGGAAAGCACTAATAAGATAGGGCTCACAATTGCCTCCAAGACAATTCCTCAGAAATCCACAAAAGGCACTGGAGATTGGGTGTGTCACCGGTGCTCTCAGCCTTTGCTAAGAGTGAATTTCATTCCTTTGCAAAGGGTCAGCACAGGATTATACACCACTTAAATCCTCCTTAAGCCGTATTTTGAGGATTTAATTGGTTCATATGGTTTATGCTGGCCCTCTGCACAGGGCGAACTCTAGTTTAACAGAAAAGTGGGACACCTAAAGTCACCTCAAATCTAAAGCTTACATTTGGCAGCATGACACAAATTGAATTTTACAAATATAGACGTTTCCTCCTACACTTCCCGATATTTATACATCTGTATTTCCCACAATGATGAAGGAATTGATCATTAACACTGGCTTACACTTTCCCTTATCTTTTCTCAAATCACATTCATGGCTTCTGAATAAATGTATATAATCTGTTGCTTCCTAATAAAACAGTATCTACTCCATAGCATAAATCAGCCACACAGGATACTCTAAAAAGAAAAGGAGTACTTGTGGCACCTTAGAGACTAACAAATTTATTTGAGCATAAGCTTTCGTGAGCTCGAAAGCTTATGCTCAAATAAATTTGTTAGTCTCTAAGGTGCCACAAGTACTCCTTTTCTTTTTGTGGATGCAGACTAACACGGCCGCTACTCTGAAATAGGATACTCTGTAGATACCATGATCAGCATTCTGTCATCATCTGTCAGGTCAAATAAATCTAATATCCAGTGAAGAGTGCCAAGAAGATTAGTTAAGATATAAGTGAAATTTTGTAATACCTTTAAATATTTAAATGGTTTTGTAAAACCTTCATGAGAGTAAGTTTCCTCTCAAACAAACTAGTAACACTTTCAAAATATATTTTGTTTTAGGGGCGTGGCATTTTTGCAAGTGGAAGCCCCTTTGACCCTGTGACTCTTCCAAGTGGACGCACTTTCTATCCTGGACAGGGTAACAATGCATATGTGTTTCCTGGCGTTGCCCTTGGTGTTGTTTCATGTGGATTGAGGTATATAAGTGAAGAAATTTTTCTCACTACTGCTGAGGTGGGTACACTATTCATAATTTTAAAATCCTTTAAAATCAGTGATTATATAATAAACACTCAAATATGCCATCTTTCAAATCAGAAAACAATATTTCCTTTTAACATTTTAGCTCTTTATTTGTAAGGTAATATACGTTTTCTACTCCTATAAGTACATTTATATATTTTAAGCAGTTATTTTGATAAAGAAGTTTGTATTAGTTGGTTCAGATGTCCATTATGAAATTCACTTCATCATTTAATATTTCCCACTCTAAAATCTGGATACAAGATGGCTCTATCTAGACCTTTAATCACATTTGAGGAGTTGATCCAAGAGCAAGCTGGAACAAAAGGTTTAATTAAGATGCATACAGTTTTGATTGAAAAAGATGTTAAGTAAATAACCCCGAAGAAAAGATGTGAGAGGGACCTGGACAAAGAATTTGATCTGAATGAGTGAGTCTCATGTGGGAAAGGAGACATATATTTTCAATTTGTGTCTGTCATAAAGCAAATTATTATAAATTACTGTTTAGATGGCATTTGACTCCAGCTAAAAACCATCATATTTTTGCTGCTAGGGAGGCGCTCTGTTGGAATGGTTGTGAGGAAAGGGGAACATACTTGCACATGTGATTGTGTGCAGGAATTAGACAGTTTTGGGAAGAAATTATTAGCAATTCATCTTATGGTCAAATTGCACCTTCCTAGAGATCCACTGACCTGCTTACTTAATGGTCCAGTAAAGGATCTACATTTTAAACAAAATGACAAATTAATTTTGTATTGTTAGTAGCAAGGCTTTGTATTTCACATTATTGGAAAAATGTGACTTCTCCTTCTATGGAATTGAGGTATCAACTGTTCTTGCAATAGAAAAGCTTTCAAGCCAAGTACGGACTGTGATGTTTTGGAGTCCACCCAGACCAGTAAGGGGTTCTGGCATCCCGGCCCTGTAGGTTTAGGGGACTTTAGGTGCCTTTTTGCTGTACAGCTATGGTTCAATTCTCTGACACCAGTAGCCTGCCCACAAACATAAGGTCTCACCAGCCAAGTTACTCTTTTCAGGGAGACACCAAAAGCACCCCCAGTCATGGGTCTCCCAAAATACGTCCTCCCCATGTTCTTAATTACCAGACACTCTGACCATTCCCCTCCAGTTTATCACCCATGAAGGCATGAAACCAACCTGCTAGTTACCAGCTCACTTTGGCATATATACTCCACGCAGTTTGCACACCAGAGATCTGCTCGGGATAAAAATAAACAAAAAGTTTATATATAAACTTATTTAAAAGCTTTTTTGTAAAAAATAACCCACAAGTTCAAAAATGAAATAGTAAGGGAAAAACAAACATACACGTTATACAGAAAATAAATGTAAAGACACCACCTCCGGTTTTACACTTTTATATTAGCTCAAATCCCTTTTCTAATATGAGTTACCTGTTGCCTTAAAGCAGTTCTCTAGCATGCCCCCCTAGCTGTCAGAGGAATCGAGTATTCACAGATGGCCTCCTGTCCCAAGGCTGTCCCCCAAATTCTGATTGGCCTTCAGTTCAAACCCTTTCCATTTTAAAAGGGTTTGCACTTTTTTTCAGTCACTCTCGATATTCAAAGTGGGGGAAACTCCCTCCTTTCTTGGTTTCCAAAGATGGGAATTTTCTTTTCAGTTTCAACTGTTCCCATTTGCTTGGATGATTCCATATTGGGTTTTTTCTGGGCTGGACAATGGCTAGGTGCTCAAAGCCAGACTTGACTGGTTGGCGAGGTAGCTTCTCCCTGATAATTCTTTTACCACACTGTTGTGAGGTGATGCTGAAGTTGCACCAGTTACAATTACATTTTTATATATAAATAATACACACATCTTCATAACCATAATGTGTATACATATCTCATAATGATTATTAAGTTCAGTTCATTATAAGCTTTCATAAAAGATCTTGATATCCTCTTACAGGAAAACATAGTATTTGATCAGTTGGCTTAATTGCTTTTATTTTTGGTTTTAAACCTTCTGTTCTTCCCCTGGGGTGTCTGGACCCTGATTGTCACGTGTACACAAGAGACGCGCCAAAAAGAGATACATGTTTACAAATTTGGTCACCCCTTTTAGCATACTTATGGGAGGAGAGCTCCCCAGCCAGCAAGCCAGATTCTTTGAATATTAACCTGATCCTGAATAAGTAATATATGATGTAGTATGTTAATATTTCATTGTAAATTTGCCTTAATAAAAAGTTTTTAAAAAGGAACAAAAAGTTCTCTTAATACTATATCTACATATGCTTTTTGTGCATGTATGCAGTATACTCTGTTTTGTGTGTTACTCCTGGGGGAATTCTGTGCCACTGCACATGCACAGAATTTATGTCCCCCGCAGATTTATTTGCTTCCCCGTGGAAAAATGACTTTCTGATGGGGAAGCCAAGGGAAGCCACAAGAACGGTCATGCAACCCTTCCCAGCAATATGTTTTGGGGGCCCAGGGCAGCCAACAGAGATGTAAATCACTGTAGGGCAGGAGGTGGAACTGGGGAAGACCCAGCTGGTGGCTCCTATCCTGCACTGGGCTCAGCTGCTAGTCCCGACTGAGCTGGGGAGGACGGGACTTCCTCGTCCCCTGCACGGTATCCAGGGCCAGGGTATCTGAGACCCATCCCCAGATCTCTCCCTAGCTACAGGAAGCTCTGCAAAGTCCCCTCCCGCTTCCTGCACCCATCGCTTTACAGCTGCAGGGAGAGGGATCCCTGTACAGCTGCTCCGCCCAACCCCCATGCATTCAGACCCCCTTATACCTAGATCCCATTGCCAAGCTTCACCCCCCCACACTCAGAACCCGCCCTGCTACCCCAACAAGCCATCCGCACCTAGATCCCCACCCCACCGAGCCCCAAACAGCTGCACCTGGATCCCCACCCCACTGAGACCCTACACCTAGACCCCCCTGCTGAGCTTTATCTCCCCCATGCCCAGACCCCCACACACACACTGAGCCCCAACCCTCTACAGAGTCCCATTACTGTTGCACCCAGAATGCCCCAACAAGCCCCAATGCATCCAGATCCACACCACACCTGGAACCCCCCCTGAGACGCCTGCATCCAGATTACCCCACACAGAACACACTCAACCTACACCTGGATCTCCCCACACTAAACCCCTCCACACTTGGATCCTGCCTTGCTGAGCCTGCCTGCCCACACCTGGTGAACCTGGCACAGATGGGCAAGGACCTGAGGTGTTTCTGGGGCAGGACCAGTCCTTGCGCTGTATCTGGGTTGGGTGTAGCCTCACCATTGAGTCTGTGTCCCGAGGGGATCTCCCATCTCTGTGCAGCCAGTGGCCTAGGCTCCCCAGTGCCATGCTGGAGCCACCACATTTATTTGACCAATAAAATTTGTAGAATTTTAAAACGTGTGCAGAATTTTATTTTTTTTGGACTAGAATTTTTATTTTTTTTGGCGCAGAATGCCTTCAGGTGTGTGTGCGTCTATATACGTATGTCTGTGTGTGTATTATGCTATACAGAGAGACAACCACAGGGAAATACTGATATAACTCTGGACTAAAGGAAACTTTACCAAATATCTTATCCATATTTGGATGTGTTTATTATTGCCTTCATTATTATTTGTAATTCTTTATCTTGTGGAGTCTTTAGGCCAACAGTTTTCAGCATTTTTTGTAGTGGAGTTCTCTTGTGAGAAATTGGTGGAAGGGTTCCCTCATCATGTTTTTCCTTGTGCCACGCTCTGCTACAGTTGTCACCATCTTTTTTTCTTTCCATTTTCTCTCCTGACCTTTTCTGCCTCATTTCATTTCTCTTATGATTATCTTTTATTCTCTGTTGTATTTTACTTTCTAATTTTTGTTCTTTTTTGCTTTCTTGGTGGGAACTTTCCTTCCCTGCTCTCCACTCAACAGAAGACTATATGGTGGTTGGGAGGTTTGGGAAGGTCCACCATTGATGGTTCTAAGAGGTCAGTCATACATAACTTAGTCATGGGAGGAAAGGATAAAAATTTGTGCCTATGAGCTGCTGTTGGAGCCTCCTTCCCCGCACATATGAGCTTCCCCTGTGGCCATCTGCATTAGGTGCCATTGTGGAAACAGGGACAAAGAGCCTCTCGGTGCATTACCCATAGTCATATTAGCAAATTTAGAGTAGGAGGGAGCAGGTTGAGCATTATGGAACTTTCTCCACCCTTACTGTTGTCCTCTGTTCCACGCAAATCCCACCCTATTGACTTTTCTGTAGCTTAGGTGGCTCCTCTCTCAGCATTCTGGCTTCTTATGTTCCCTTCCTTAAGCACCCAAGTCTCCCAAAGCAATTTATGGGGAGCTAACTCAGAGCTGAGGATTCTACTAAGTAGCAGGGCATGGAGGAGGTTAGGCATTGCAACAACGAAAGTACATTTGTGTATTTAGCCCTCATTGCTATGACCCCCACTCCAGTCCCTGAATCTCTCCACTGGTTTCTTTTCTCTTTTCATATTAATTTCAGCCTCCTCATCCTTCATAATCCTATCCACAACTTTGCTGTCATCTATACTGTCTCTGACTTATTACATTCCTATGTAACCTCTGCGACTATGTTTGGAATAGTCTGTCCAGTCTTCCATGTACAAAGCAACACTTCCTCTTCACCTTCAAATCCCTTCTTTCTTAGTCTTCCTATATTGCTGTCCAACTACTAATATCTCTATTTTTTCTTGCACATGAATACTTGTCTCATATATTGTATTTTTGTTAATTAGATTATGAACTCCTCAGGGTATGGACCCAATATTTCTACATGTTTGTAAAGTCTGATACACATTTATGGTACACGATACATAAATAGTCAAACCTTTTGCACCAGAAATCAATTTTCCCAAATAACTAATTATCTATGGAGGCACCAAATAAGAGACACACAGACAAAATATGAAAAGATTAAAAAACTACAACTCAAAACTCCATAAACGTGTTACCTACTTCTGTGATGCTAACACTCAAGGAATGAACCATG